AAATGTGACTTAATTTTATATATTTTAACCAGCCAATATGCCTAAATCAATTATTTTTGTGTTAGAATAAAAGAGTATTTAAATAGGTGTCAGTAACCAAAAAGATACTTATACATATTCTTCATATCACATCACATCACATTACCAGCCTAAAAGTGTGCACTGCTGAGTAAAAACCTCTTCTTACACGGAGAAGGCTTGAAGATTTCACGCTAGCTCAAGGCAGACTTGTAAATTCAAACTTATAATCGAAATTGTAAATTCGGGTTTCCTCACGATGTTTTCCTTCACCGTCGGTCAGTGGTGTTCAAATAATAATCAATTATATATATATATATATATATATATATTATTATATGTATTACTAGCTACTATCGCGCGGTTTCACCCGCTGCTCAGTTCCATTTGATCGTAGCTTGATGTTTTATAGCTTATTAATAGCACTCAGAAACATTGTAGCTATCTATCAGTGAAAGAATTTTGGCAATCCAACCAGCTGTTCCACAGATTACCCCCTACATACAAACTTACAAATTTTACCTCTTTATTATATTAGTATAGATAATCCTTAGTCGAATGCCAAAATGACAAGGCGAGAAGATCGAATTACGATCCCTTTATTAAAACTTTAATATAGACAAGACAGTATCAAAAGATAAGCATTTTATCACTTGTATAGAACTTACATTCTGCCTATTCTAGTATTGTCTAAATGTTACACCTATCATGTTGGTTTAATTAAGAAAATGATCCCTATTCCATCCCCTCGCATCGACCCCTCATTTGACACCATTTTATTAATTCACTGAGTATTTTCAGTTGATTCTGAGTTTATGTTTGTTTGAGTTCAGTGTGGTTGTGATTTTGTTTATCGAATTATATTGTTATTGGAAAAATACTCGTTCCACGCTAAGACTTTTTGCGTCGGGGGTAAGTTTACAAACATATTTTTCAGATACACACAACAAGATCGAAACAAAAATGTATGGAATGCAACCCGCAACACGTTGCCCAGTAGCCTATTGTCTAGACACTGGGCTAACCGTCAATTCCAACATTTTCTGTACAAGTTTAAAATTATACTCTGTTTTGTTTTGTTTTTTTTTTTTCAAAGAGATCAGCTTTGTTGATTTTACTTATATCGATATGTTTTTTCGGTGAAGGGTACTTGACTACATTTTTTTTTCTTGTTGAGTCTAAGTTTTTATAAGTACTAGCAGTTACCTACACACTTCAATTTATCATTTCACGTAATTTTTCTAATAAATCTACTTAACCGTACCTAGAAGGTTAAGTAGATATAATCATCAAAACATTTCCATATTTCGTAAAGATTTTGAAGAAACGGTACCTGCCTAATGTTATTTACAATTGTTAGCGTCAAGTATGTATTTGATGCTATTGTTCTTTGTACATACGAACGTATTATATAACAGTGTATGTATGTAGCTATGTATAGCAACAAGCACATCACTTCTCAAACAAAACGTATGAATTCAATAAGACCGATACGATTTAACGAACCCCCTTAGAGGGTAATTAATTCAATCGCGTATAAGGGCGTCGCTGAAGGAAACGTCATCATTATCTAAGCCGTTGTTGCGGCAACGTGGTGCCGCGGTGTGAATGAGTGTCGTGTGTCTCTCAAGCTTTTGTCCCACCCCTCGTCAATCGGTAACACATTTACCCACTTACGACTGGGTGAAAACTTGCAAAACGAACACCATTGTTAAGATCGCTACAGACACAATGCCCTGTCGCTGCGGCGCGCTTATCGACTGCGCGTCAAAGAAGTTCAAAAGCTCGGTTTAGACGTTCGCTATCGCGGCGTCGTTTGTCAGTTTACGCCGGGAGCTATGATTGTCTCTACGTTACAAATGGCCTTTTTGAGGACGACGTTCGTTACCGTTTTAATTGACACCGCGAAAGTATCACAGCAACGAGAAATTTTCGTATCGCGTGGCGTCGCGTGTGTGAAGACGCGCCGGCATTCGACTTTGAGGTGCCTTTGTTTTGTCCTGTGCTCACATATAAATTTATATTATATTCGTACGTACCAACATGTCCACATCGCTTCTATTTTCATAAAGTCTACTTGAAATAATCTCCACATTTCGATAATTTACCTTATTAAACAGTAAAGTGGAGCAGATTTCAAACGCTACGCGTGTGCCACTCGACAGATTATTTTCCGTACAAGCGCGCTACGATACCATGTAGCAGTTAACAACGTCTACGGCTTTACGTAACAATGTGCGTTTGAGTATTAATCTCATTTGTGTAATAAAATCTGTGCCTTAGCCGAGCCGATGGCAAGGCGTGATCCGGCCGTGAAATGCTTGCCTCCGCACGATAATCCTGTTAGGTTAAGAAGGTTTCTACATATTACGTGCTTTGCTACGCCTTAAGGATTAAAACGACGTGTACGCATAACTCGATACGTATTGTTAGGGAAGACATACGCTCCGCATATCGATTTTCCATCAGCTGTATCATAATAATGTAGCCACTGTGAAACGATGAACTCGTCTACGAATTTATAGGTATTCATTTAGCGGGGACTAGTCCAGCCGGGCTTAAGCGATTACGCCACGGCAAAGATGCAACGTAGATTTACAGCAAAGCTTGCCATGACAAGGTGGTCATCGCAAGCCCCTAGATCTTTATGCCGGACAATGAAGACAAAGGACCTTTAAATTATTCAGACAAAGTAAAAGCGACCTTAATGCTTGAAGCGTAACAACCATTTGTAAATATTTAAGTTTGCGCGTCAATTTTGTGTTAAGACGAATAGTTTGCATGAGAGAGGAATCGGAGAGCGTCTGGGAGGCTAAACCTACCCTCCGGCCAGTAGGGGGCCGTCCATAAATAATTAATCTGCAGCAATGTGCGTCCGACGGTTAACTAAATCCTGCGGCGGTTTAGGAAACTGGCCGTCGGGGATACCTCAAGAACTGAATATTGTTTCTTGTTTCAATCCTATTCTCAGATAGACGGTGCTCGGTGTAATCCCTGTATTTGGGCTACACCACAGGCTTTAGTTTTGAATTAAATTTTAAATTCAATGTTAATGTACATAATGTATAATATTCAATGTTTTGTCCGCAATGTTTCGCGGAAGAGTTGCATGACTATTGTTGCGGTTGGCTACTGTATTTCCATTAGTCGATGAGAGTCCCACGTTTATGTTACTGTTAATAAAAATAAAAGTTAAATCAGAGAACATTTCAATGATCTGTCTTGTAAGTTAGGCCACGGATATATTTGGTTACATTTTACCTAAGTATAACCGCAACCCAAAGTGATAGACACACTTTTGTCTACGACATTTAATGAGAGCATGGCCTTCCGAACCATCTTATTAAACACGAATAGTTAGACGAACTCTGCAAATAGCTAACAAGTCATCGTGATTACAAAAAAAACACACATATATTATTCTACACATATTAAAGGAAAAAAGCAGCAACATGTTGTGTTTTTCTAGATGAATGCTTTTAGTTAAGTTTATTATAAATATAAGTAGCTATTTAGCCTGTCTGTGTATCAGTTTGTCCGGGCTAGGAAGCCCCACGACGCAAGCAACAAGCGTCTTGCGGCTCTGCGGATGGGCGCGGATTAGGCCCGCTACGTCTATAACACACCACACATTTATCTACACATTATTTTTATACATTCTATTTTGTTTGTAAAGTAGAAGCTGGCTGTCATTTTAATTGTTTCCATTTTTAAATATTTATTCTGTTTTTTTTCATTTTAAACTTTTTGCTTTTTGCTGATGGCCATTGGTGTTTTCTTATGTTTTTTTTGTCATTGTTTAATATACTATTATTTTTTTTGCAAATCTTAATTATTACAAACGCAGTAAGCAGGATGTATGTAGTTGATCCCTTTTAACATATTTTGAAAAATACTATTTTAATTAAAAAGTGTTGTTTTTTTGAGAAAACGTTTAAAACATATATTTTATTTATTGTTTTTCTAAATGATCAAGTTAAAGACTTCATATTAGCTTGGTAACAATTATTAGATTCTCAAAAAAACAATTGCTAGTAGGTTGGTAGCTAGTATAGTTACAACCTTAATGACCACAGACTACAAATACATTCACATATATTTAATAGCAAACAATATTCAACTCTCAGACAAAAGTTGTAAGCTCAATTTAATTTGTATGGCGAGCAAAAAGTTTGGTTTTACCTAATAGACCTTGTTTCAAACTCACGTCTAAACTGTGGTTGGGATATTGGATTATTGCACCGTCATCCAGAACCTTCGACGACCATTAAAAAGTTATTCTATTATACCTTTGAAATATATTTTTTATATATTGCCGTGTACCATGTACGATGTTAAAATTGTATGTTTTTTGTGAATCGAATATTTTGATGTAACAACAAAATACGAATCGGACCTAAAACCCAAGATAAGTATGATCGGATTGATCTGAATATGAACCAGTATTGAAAATATGTATGTGTTATAAAAATGTGTCAACAATATTATTCCTCTACGTCGAGAGTAAGCATGTACTATGAGACCCATACAACCAACGTCCTACGAAACATAATCCACTAAAACCCAATAAAACATAACCAAAACAAATCCACACATAGAAAAACCATTCAAAATAACGCGAACATTTCACTACGTTACACTAATAACAGCTTTTAACTCATTTAAATAAATTGATCAACTAAAGCCGCATTAACAAAGTCGCTAATGCGTCCATTCTAAATCAATAGTAGAGGGAATGCGACCAAATAATCGCAATGCAGTTAATGAAACCATTTGAAAAGTTAAAAGCTTGTTTAGGCTGCGACCGCCAGCGACTAATTAACGTCGTGCCATAATACCAGCCAGTGTGAACGAGGACTTAGCGGCATTATCGTCTATATTGTACTAATGTTTAGTTGTTGCCATGAATGGTCATTATGATTTGAGACGCAAATTGCTATATTTGCAATTGCAAAATCGAAATATAACGAATTAATTGTTACCTGTCGATTCTTCTGAAAAGTAGCCTTTATCACCATCCAACCTCCTCACTTTATCTAGAAAGAAAGATAAACAACACATAAAAGAAAGAAATACTAACAAATAAAAACACACAGAAGAAATACGAATTTAATTATATTATAATTATGCACAATACAATGTACACATGTACATGTACAGTACGGCACACCTTTGAAAGTCTGCTTACACAAACGTCTAACTGATATAAAAAGCTAGGTTATGATCCATACATTCCAATAATTTTGTTAACCAAAATTATAACTTCAATTATGTAATGTAAAATTTGCTAACCACATAGTCTATCTATTCCGTCTAAGTCATCCAAGCAGAATAGTAATAAAAATAGAATAAAAAAATAAAGCCGCATGGATCAATGCGTGGATCAACTAAAATGTTTAACACGGCGGCGTAGACCCTCGTAGCAAAGTGCTACGAAACATCACGCAAATACAAAACCGTACAAAAATATTGTTCAGTGTAATATTTATTCATTTCCATTAAGTCTATTCATAACCGTCTAACGATTTCCACAAACAGCAATAGAAGCATGTTATTAGAGTTTATAACGTCAGTCAAAAGGTGGGATTACTGAAATTGTACGCGCGGTAGGCTTTGAAACGAATAGTATTATTAAAGCACGCAGACAGACTCGATTTAGTAATTAATTTTACCGCGCGAAGTGCACTAAATGCACTAGAAACTATAATCCCCATTAAAATGGGAAATAGTCGACTATTCACTTTGCCATCAAATATAATTTTGGCTTCTAAACGCGAAATATAATTATGTGTTTTGGCAAATCCGTTGCGCGGCGTGTGCACGCAAATGTACCTGTTTAATGTCATCATCTTTTCAACGGTACATTTTGTATAATGATTTATGCAAATATCGTCAAAGTACATTAGAATAGGCAACGGGCGAACCTAACTTGAATTCTATTCACTGTAAACAAAGCGAAATTGCATCAATAATTCAATAACAGAGTTTTCAGTCTGAGTTGGTAAGTAGGTAGTGCACTCCGGCAACGACAATCCATCGAGAATAAAATAATATGAGGCGATCATTTTCATTTGCTTCCCGACCGCTCAATTTTTCGCATAACGCACCACCCAATGAAAACACAAATTAATCTGCTCATTTTTTGCATACAATTTTATATCATTGAGTCCAAATATCTGAATGCGATGCATTTCGCGCTCCATAATCCCGTGTCAGTGCGATAGTTATGGATTACTTTTGTCTCGATTGAATTATTTCATCATAATAAAAATATATTATTATTAATTTGTTATTATACCGTGCGCGTCGAGGTAATCCTCAAAAGGTCCACGCTCGCTTTGTTTACGCGTGCTTTTATGCGAGTTCAATGAAGGTGCGCCGTGAAATCCGAAATCAATATAGGAGAGCATTGAAACAAGAGTGCGGGTGAGGCCTGTGTCGACGCGATATCCAACACGGGTTCGGATTAAGCGACGTCAAATCCGGGATTAAGCGGGGCCGGGATAAAACGGAAGCCGGGATCGGCTGGAGCTCGGGTCAGCGGGATTTCGCCGGGCAATAAAAGTGTCTGCAGCCGATTTAGACTGAGCCCGCTGGCAATTCGGCGCGGCTACCAATTGCTAGGTAATTTCGGCGTGCGAGCGCGATCTGTCCGCACAAAGCCGTTCTAATGCCCGCCAATGGGATTAGCCGAGTGTCGTGCGGCCTTTACAATTTATTGGACGGAATCAGACGTCTGAATTAAGACATAGTTCCTAGTTGCGTCTCGATGAGCTATAGATATTATAATGGTCTTTGGCAACGAAGACAAAGCAAATGTGGAGCGGAATGATAAGCCCTTAAGAAATATTAATCTGCTCTCGGTATTCAAAGTAGACTAATCAAAGTTTTTTCTAAACTAAATCCCACTCGTTTGCAATGGACGTCGCTCGTCTATTATAGGGGCCCCTCAGTAATCCGGATTGGAGATTCATTAGGGTGAGATTATACTCTATTGAAATCTGGCTTAAGCGGGCACGGTCGGATCGGATCGCGGACCGCGGAGCGAGCGAGCCGGGAAACACCATTCATACAATGATAGTGCTCATATGAGTGATACGAAATTCATCTATTTTAAGTAGGTTTAATATTGAAGGCGGATAAAATTGATTTCGCGGATGGGAACTGATTTAGTGTCACTGTAGACTTAATGATAAACTGGTTTTCATTGAAGGACTTGTGAAATATTTCATTTCAAAGACAAATTTTGGTTAAAATTACAACAAAAACCATTAGGATACCGGATTGATTTATACGTGTAGAGCAATATTTAACCGACACATTATACAATCATCCTCAGCTCAGTCGTCACGTACAGGAAGTTTTTTTCTATGCCTAAGCTAGACCACAAGCCGGCGGCGATTTCCAAGTACTCCATTATAAAACTGATTCATGTATGGGACAACATAATCCTGGCCTACTTTATGACGTCACGCCTTTGTTACCTGGATTCGAATAGCCATTATGATAATCGCAACCTTAATACAGAAGTCATAAAAGCTAAAAGGAACCGACAGGAACGCGATTCGAAAACAGGGTGATGAATCATTACATTAGGCTAAGCAATTGATATTCTTCACGTGTTAAAGGAAACTCCTTGTACCATAAAAGCAAGTCGTAGCATCAACGTTATTGGATAAAACGTCAACATCAAAGAAGACGGTAAACAAAAACCGTAAGAGAACCGTACCATTTGCCGGATGAAAATATTGTTCGTAATTACCGAGATATTTCATCTTATTTTCTATGGTTACGTAGTGGGGAGATGCTTGTAAGGTCATTAGGGTAGTGTGTGTCGGAGGAATGCTACGCGATGCGTTAACTTGTCGGATATTTCTGTAGTAGTTACGGTACGCTAAGCTGTCTTTAACGCGGCATCGCGCAGCATTCTGTACGCTTTCACCCTTAAGAAAATTTGACGTTTTTAACATTATTCAGTTATGTTTGTATGTTTATTCGATATATTAATAATATTTTTTACAAATTACTTTATTAATAAGCTTAATTATTCTGGGTTTTATCACAAAACCTTTATCTATGTTTACAATGTTTTGGAATTTTTTATTATGTAATTTTAGTTTGTTATTTCGTCATTTGTTTCCTTATTAGGTATACTTATTAATAAGTTGTTATTAAAAGTCCTAATTTGAGATCGACTTCAAACCTATGAATAGGTAGCACATAGAATTGATAGTGTTTTATTATTAATATTAAAAGTATTAGCTTCGCGTACGTAAGAGTGCTATTAAAATAACAATTTTAATTACTTATTTGACACTTTTTTGTTTTTGAAGTCGGTTTTTTTAAACGTAGTTTTTTTATTTTCTACTTTTTAGTGTCTGTTACAAGTTCTTTTGTAAACTACAGTAATATTTTAAATATAAATTAACATATTGAATAGTATATATTTTTAAGTAGCTACGTGTAGGCCAACAAAAGGAGCCGCCTGATTAAAAAATATAGATCCCAAGAAATGGGAAAGTTCTCATCATCATCATCATCATCACCATCAGCCATTTTAATGTTCCCACTACTGGGACACAGGCTATCTCTCTAGGAGAGGGAAAGTTCTTAACAATATAAATAAATTAAGTCCAAACACGAGGTAGCTACTGTAAACCGTTGAGGAGTTCCCTAGACTGTCGTTCGTCTTCATCATCAGATCCCTAATGACAGTTACAATCCATCAAGGTGTCAAGTTCTCATCAAAACGAATAAATTAAGCTCAAACACAAGGAAGCTGTTATGAATCGTTGAGGAGTTCTCTCGACTGTCTCTCGTTTCCATCGGGAATTCCCTCGACGGTCAATTGTCTCCATCATCAGGTAAACTGCAGACCTTCAGTTGTTATGATACATACCTACAGGTACAAAGTTTTCATCAATATAAATGAATTAAGTTCAAACACGAAGTAGTTACTGTAAACCGTTCAGGAGTTCCCTGAGCTGTCCTTCGTTCTCTTCATCAGACCCTTAATGACAGTTACGACCAAGCCTGCTGCAAAGTGCTCGCCAATACGAATCATTCAAGCCCAAACACAAGGCAATTACTCCAAATAATCAAGGAGATCCCTCGACTGTCTTCCAGCTCCAACATCTGGTCGACTTCAACCTTCGTCAAGTTGTAGTGTTGTTAAAGGCCTACTTAAACATCATACAAAAAATCTACTCGCCCCTACAATTTTCGAAAGTTCCCTTCGGTTTCTCCAGGATTCCATCATCAGATCCTGACCTCATGACAATGGGACCAAATGGCAAGTATACCCTATCGAATAAAAAAAGAATTTTGCAAATCGGTCCAGGCGTCTTCGAGTAATCGGTGTACATACATAAAAAAAAAAAAAAATACGCGTCGAATTGAGAACCTCCTCCTTTTTTGAAGTCGGTTAAAAAAAAGCTTGAAAATGAAAAATTATTGCTTTAAAATAATGTTTTTTTTATTAATTTCACTTATTACAAATTATACACCATCTGTGATAAGATACAAATAAAAATAGGACCTAGCCAAACACCTGGTTGACAAGAACAAACAAAAAATATTTTTACCAAAACATGAAAAAGTCTATGTACCGTTTTTTATCCGTAACCTTTATGCTTTATCCGGTCAATATATATAATCCGTCCGGCTGATAATAAGCCAACGTCGGTAACAATAAAATGGAAATGTTACAAAAACTCAACACTTAATCGCACTAGTGGCTTATCTCTTTTTGTACTCGTCCACTCCGGCTTATTCCCGGTACGGATTAATCCGGGAATAAAATATTTATATCCAACATAACGAGCACTGAGATAAACATGAGCTCAGCATTACTGCTCTTCGATAATATTAATATAAAATAAAAAATATAAAATATTTTCCGTTAAAAAATCGAGTTATATTTTAGTTTTTTTTTACGTTAATAGATTTTTTTCTTTTAAAAAAAACGTCGCTTACTTAAATTGTATTTGGCCATCACACCGATGAAAAAAAGTAAGATACATATTTAAGTACATAT